TTATACATATAAAGAAGTCAATCGTGACAAATGACAGAAGTCAGTGGTAAAAATGTCCATGTACTTTTATCGGCATCACTAAGCACCTTGCATTTTCCTCATGTAGATAATAGCATGTTTAAAGTAGTCCTCTCTTATTTGTGCTTTCACTTTCTATAGTTTCAACTACCTGCAGTCAGCCATGGTCTGAAAATTTTAAATGGAAAATTCCAGAAATGAACAGTTTATAAGTTTACATTTAGGATCTTGTTTCTAGCCTGTGGTTGCAGGCATAACCTGGCTTTAAATTATGCTCTGCTTTGTAGTTATTCTCTCAGTTCAGTGTCTAAAAAGTCTTTGCTTATTCATGATGGCTTGCTCTCACTTTTGTTTCACTCCACAGACAATAAACTCCATTTCTAATGAACAAAACCATGGTTTTAGAACCTGAGATCTTTTGCAACTTGACAAGAGGAAAATTTTCTGAATTTCTCCTAGAGTTGGAATAAATGACAGTGGAATTGGATGAGTTTACTGAATTTCAGAAATTTGATAAGAGCAAAAAAAATTGGTCAGCTGTCATGAATTTATATTGTCTAGTCTTCTCTTAGATCCAGCATCATATTTCATTTGTTTTACTACCATTTATTATACTGGCATTAAAACATTTTTTTGACCAGGCGCAGTGGTTCACGCTTGTAATCCCAGCACTTTGGGAGGCCGAGGCGGGCAGATCACCTGAGGTCAGGAGTTCGAGACCAGCCTGACCAACATAGAGAATCCCAGTCTCTACTGAAAATACAAAAATTAGCCAGACATGGTGGTGCATGCCTGTAATCCCAGCTACTCGGGAGGCTGAGGCAGGAGAATCACTTGAACCAAGGAAGCAGAGGTTGCGATGAGCCGAGATTGCGCCATTGCACTCCACTACAGCCTGGGCAACAAGAGCAAAACTCTGTCTCAAAAAAAAAAAAAAAAAAAGTGACATAGATTTCATGGTAGAAAAAGGATGCATTGTCTTTTAAACTGGGCTCAAAAAAGTGACACACACTGGACGTACTAATGTTGAGGCCTCAAGCAACCCTCCCACCTTGGCCTCCCAAAGCACTGGGATTACAGGTGTGACCCACTGTACCCAGCCCTATAATTTAAACTTCTTACAGGGTTCATTAATGAAGCAAAGAAGACAATTTTGAACAATAAATTAATTTAGTTTAAAAGGGCTTTGGACTTCTCTTTATATTTGTAAAGTATTTGAATACCCTGAATTACATAGATAAGTAGCTACAAATGATAATAGTTTATATTGGCTTATTTTACAACAATAAATAGATCTTTAGACTTTAGTTTTACAGAGATAGCAGGAATAGCTTTATTTCTAGGACCACCGGAAAGTTAATTTAGCAGCATAAGTTAATAAATTAATTCCCTCATTGTCTTAAAATTTGGTATGTAAAACTATTGAACTTGAGTCTTATTTATTCAATTTTTTTTTTTTTAGATTTAGGGAGTATATGTGCAGGTTTGTTACATGGGTATATTGTGTAATGGTGAGCTTTGGACTTGTAGTGTACCCATCACCTAAACAGTGAACATATACCCGATAGATAATTTTTTTTTTTTTTTTTTCTGAGATGGAGTTTTGCTCTTGTCGCCCAAGCTGGAGTATGATAGCATGATCTTGGGCTAACTGCAATCTGTGCCTCCTGAGTTCAAGCAGTTCTCTTGCCTCAGCCTCCCAAGTAGCTGGGATTATAGGTACCCACAACCATACCCGGCTGATTTTTGTGTTTTTAGTAGAGACAGGGTTTTTCTTTGTTGGCCAGGCTGGTCTCTAACTACTGACCCCAGGTGATCTGCCTGCCTTGGCCTCCAATAGTGCTTGGATTACAGGCATGAGCTACTGGCACGGCCCCCCAATAAGTAATTTTTAACCCTCACCCCCCTTCCACCCTCCCTCCTTTTGGAGTCCCCAGTGTCTATTTATTTCCATCTGTGTGTCCATGTGTACCAATTGTTTGACTCCCACTAATAAGGTGAGAACATGCACTATTTGATTTTCTGTGTCTGAGTTATTTCACTTAGGATAATGGCCTCCAATTCTGTCCAAGTTCCTGCAAATGATATGATTTAATTCTTTTTTTATGGCTGGATAGTATTCCATGATGTGTATCTACTACATTTTCTTTATCCAGTCAACTATTGTTGGATACTTAGGTTAATCCCATGACTCTGCCATTGTGAATAGTGCTGCGATAAACGTATGGGTGCAGGTATCTTTTTTCTGTAATGATTTCTTTTCCTTTAGGTAGATGCTCAGTAGTGGGATTGCTGGGTCGAATGGTCATTCTATTTTTAGTTCTTTGTGAAATCTTCGTACTGTTTTCCATAGAAGTGGTACTAATATACATTCCCACCAATGGTGTGTAAATGTTTCCTTTTGTCTACATCCATGCCAACATCTGTTGCTTATGACTTTTGTTTTGTTTTGTTTTTTGAGACTGAGTCTCACTCTGTTGCCCAGGCTGGAGTGCAGTGGTGTAATCTCAGCTCACTGCAACCTCTGCCTCCCGGGTTGAAGCAATTCTCCTGCCTCAGCCTCTGGAATAGTTGGGATTACAGTGTGTGACACCATGCCTGGCTTTTTTTTTTTTTGTATTTTTAGTAGAGGTGGGGTTTTGCAATGTTGCCCAGGCTGGTCTCCAACTCCTAGCCCCAAATGATCCACCTGCCTCAACCTCCCAAAGTGCTGGAATTACAGGTGTAAGCCACAATGCCCGGCCTTGCTTTTTAATTATAGCCATTCTTGAGTGTTATTTTTTAATCTTAGCTTTAAGGTAGCTATTTAAAGAAAATCTAATCCAATATTTACAGAATGCCAGAACTCTGCAGAAAATACCATTTGAAAACTACTAATCAGGCTGGGTTCAGTGGCTCATGTCTGTAATCCCAGTACTTTGGGACACCAAGGTGGAAGGATCGCTTGAGTCCAGGAGTTCAAGAGCAGCCTAGACAACATAGTGAGTCCCCATATCTAAAACATTAAAAAAAAAATAATGCCAGGCTTGATGGCATGTGCCTATTATAGTTCAGCTACTCAGAAAGCTGAGGTGGGAGGATCACTTGAGCCCAGGAGGTTGAGGCTGAAGTGAGCCGTGATCATCGTGCTACTGCACTCCAGCCTGCATGATAGAGTAAGATCCTGTCTCAAAAAAAAAAAAAAAAAAAAGAACAAAAGTACTAATCATGCTTTATATAACATATAACATTATCTCTGTAGAGTGAGAGTATAGATTCCCTTTTTTTTTTTTTTGAGACCGAGTTTCGCTCTTGTTGCCCAGGCTGGGGTGCAGTGGCACAATCTTGGCTCACTGCAACTTCTGCTTCCTGGTTTCAATCGATTCTCCTGCCTCAGCCTTCCTGAGTAGCTGGGATTGCAGGCATGCACCACCACACTCGGCTAATTTTGTATTTTTAGAAGAGACAGGGTTTCTCCATGTTGGTCAGGCTGGTCTCGAACTCTCGACCTCAGATGATCCTCCTGCCTCGGCCTCCCAAAGTACTGGGATTACAGGCGTAAGCCACCACGCCCAGCCTGAGAATATAGTTTCTAATCATACTCTTTATTTCAGGAAAATTGCCAAATGGAGAAAATGTGAAAATATTTCTTATAAAGGGTTAGATTAATATGAGTAAATTCTCATTAAAAATATGTTGTGTTCTGGAATTTTCAGAAATTTTCTTTAAATATCACTTTTAATCAATATTACAAGTAGTTGCCACCACAAAATTTTTGACCTATAAGTAACTGAAGTAGTATTAGTTAGCTATTTTATGATTACATTTGCATGTTTTCATTAGCTTGCCATTCTAACAGGTCCTTATTTTTGTCTAATTTGCAGTTCTGAATTGTAAACGTTGTCCTTCCACTCCCACTGTGAGGTAGCAAAGGAGAATGAGGACTTTTTTTTTAATCCCCTGGCTTATTTGAAATTGGTCTAATATTTTTAGCCCTCCACTGAAGTGACTGCCGTCTCCTCTTTGAGGAAGAATCATGGATCCTGATGTCAGAAAGGAACTCTGAAGATGCCCTAGTTTAGTTCTGTGCCTGTAGATGCATGGTTTTTATAAAGCTGTGCAAAGAGAAAACTTTTCCAAAACCACACACGTTTTGTGCCCCTTTAGAAAGCCAGATATTTAAAGGAACCCTGAGGCAAATCCTTTTTTGAGGCAAATGCTCCTTTGTGCATCTTGGTGCTTTAAAGAGCCATTGGAAATTTTCTGACAGCACCTGCCCCAACCCATGAGAGCTGCCAGTGCAGTGCTTTCCCCTCAAAGAGGATCCTCCTTTCCACACAGCCAGTGGCCCCAGTACCCCTGAAGTCCAAGGCACCATAGTGGTGCCAGACATTCCTCTGTGGACTGGCAGATGTCTCAGGCTGGCACCCACCTTCCTATTAAATTCCACACAATATTTACAGGCTGTTTGACATCAAAATTAAATTGAGAAAACTAATATAAAATGAGAACATTATAATCCATGATCTCGTGTGTCCCTTCTAGCTAAAATGAGTCTAGGAAACAAGCATAGCATGAGCATCGCTTTTTTTTTTTCTACGTGGAATACTTTCACATAATCTAGTAACTAAGGCCATGGGTTAAGATTCTGAGTCCACTGCTCACTTGCATAACATTATAGAGCAAATAACATAATTACCCTAAACGTCAATGTCCTGTGAGTAAAGTAGAATTAATGATGGTGTCTACCTCACAGGGTAGTTGTGAGCTCTGAATGCAATCTTATCAAGTATTAATTTAATATTAATATTAATTGAAATATAGTATGTAGTGTGTACTAGGTACTTTAATAATTCTTAACTGTTTTTACCATTTTCAAAATCCTGTTAATGCCTAGAAAAATATAACTTTGAAAAGTAAAAAAGAAGAGTAAATGTAAAGTAAGCAAAGAGGAATACAGCTTTTTAATGACCTTCTTCCCCTCCCTGCGTGCCCCTCTGCAGAATGTGATAAGTTGCGGCATGATGGCTACCGCAGTTCTCAGTACTACTCTCAGGGACCCACCTTTGCGGCCAACGCCAGCCCACTCCGTGATGATTACCAAGACGAAGATGAAGAAGCAGATCAAAAGGTAAGCTTCAAAGTTCAACACGGGGTCCTGGGTTGGATTCCAGAACACAGAAAGGATATATGTAGACAAACTGGTAATATCAAAATCAAGCCTGTATTTTAATCAATAGTATTGTCTCAAGTGAATTTCTTGGTTTTGACAAATGTGCCATAATTATGTAAGAGAATAACATAAATGGAAACTGGGTAAAGGGTACACAGGAAACTCTCAATACTCTTTGCAGCTTTTCAGAAAATATAAAAGTATCCTGATTTTTAAAAAGGTAAGATTAGAATCTAAAGAATTTATAAAGGAGACATAAAATCAGTGTATTTGTGCATCTAAAATATTCTTTTTTGGTTAGAAAAATAAAGGGCTTTTTTCTCTTGTTTGATTTTTCATATGACCAAGAACTCAGTTATATGACAAAGAAGAACTCTGATCATAATAGTAGAACCCACTGCTTTACAGTGGTCAGTGTTATTGATAGAGATAGACTAGAAACAGTGTATTCACTTAATATTATTGCACTAGCCAATTCATTTAGTGATGCTATTTTACATTTGGGTTCCTTTTCCTCTGCCATCTCTGGTGATATGCACAAACCACTTAAGATAAGTAATTTTCTTAATACTAAATACATATGAAAGAATAAAAATGTATGAAGATTTTGATTTATGTAGTTTTATTTTCATTTATTAAGTAATGTGGATTGACACTGGAATTATTACCTAAAATAAGATTTGATGAATAGTGTTTTGTTTCACAACCATTTTAATTAATTAAAAACTTTCAGTGGAATTAGGCCAATTTATAAATGCCTTATTGATTGAAGAACATTATTCAAAATTTATTGTCCTTTTCCTCAAATAGGTAACTTCAGAGAATAAAATAAGATAAGAATTGATCAAAACATGGGAAATTAAGCCAGGCATTGTGGCATGCATCTGTTATATCAACTACTTGGAAGGATGAGACAGAAGGATCTCTTGAGCCCAGGAATTTGAGTTGTGGTCACTCCATTGTACTCCAACCTGGGCAGCAAAACAAGACCCTGCCTCAGAAAGCAAAAGGGAAATTACTACCTTAAACTTTTGATCTTCAAATGATCTTAACCCAGATTTTTTCTTTAGATTCACTTTTTTTTTTTTTTTTTTTTTGGTGAGACAGTCTTGCTTGCTCTGTCACCCAGGCTGGAGTGCAGTGATGCAGTCTTGGCTCACTGCAACCTCCACCTCCCAGGTTCAAGCAATTCTCGTACCTCAGCCTGCAAGTAGATGGAATTACAGGCGCACACCACCACGCTTGGCAGATTTTTGTATTTTCGGTAGATACAGGATTTCACCATATTGGCCAGGCTGGTCTTGAATTCCTGACTTCAAGTGATCTGCCCACCTCAGCCTCCCAAAGTGCTGGAATTACAGGCACGAGTCACTGCGCCTGGTCTACATTTTTAAATTAATGTTTTAAATTGACATCATAATTATATGCATTTATGGAGCACAATGTGATGATTTGATATAGATATACAACATGGAATGATTAAATCAGACTAGCATATCTGTCACTGTGCTTACCTATTATTTTTTATGGCAAGACATGTGAAATTTGCGCTCTTTGTTATTTTGAAATATACAATTTATTATTAGAGATTGTAGTCATCCTACTGTGCAATAGATATAAAACCTTATTCCACCTGTCTGAAATGTTGTCCCCTTTGATCAACAACTTCCTATTCCTTCCCTTTCCACCTAGATTTTTATCACAGAATGTTTTTCCTATTTCTTGAAAGGTATTTTTACATATTGGATTACTCCTTTGAGTCTTTAAAATATACAAAGACAGTATCTTACTATAATGAGTAAATCATTCATTTCAAAATTAATCTGAACTCTAATTTTGAAAATTTTCATTTTTCTCTCGTTGGCATGAGGGGAAAGTGAAAACCAGAAAGTGAATTATAGAATGAGACTTTTGTATATCCAGATATACATTAGCCTTATACTGACACTCAGAGAAGAAGAAAAGTTTATAATGGGGCCCAGTGAGACAGATGGTTTCTGGGTGTATAGAGTCCACTAGTAAATTGGCATTGTCATGACAGCATCCTAAGATTTTTCTGGAGAATGGAAAAATCATTTCTGATTCTCACATAGCTCTTTGCTTACCATGACACTGAACTCTGAGGGAAGTTAGCCTCTGCACTAGTTTCTACTCCTCTGTACCATTGCCACAGACCCTGACAGGCAAACAGCCCTCTCCCAGATGTGTGTGAGAGTGTGGATAAATCACCCCCAAGAAAACAGGCTCCTATCCTGCTGAAAATGAGTGCAAAGAAAATGGTCATGTATAAGGGAATATATATAAAAGTCATCCTTTATATGATGTGATATGACATGACATCCCAGTAAACACAAATTTTCCATAATAATTACCTTAGTGTGATTTGCTGGCACTGGCATCACTAGACGAGGAACGAGAAGTTGACGGTGGGACGCTTGACAGGTCTCCTTGGGACCCACAGTGTCCTTCTTTTTGTGAAAGGGAGGAGGTAGGCAGTGGGAGGACCTGTCTGGTGTGTGTGGGAGGAGAGCTATTTTCTGGGGTCCCTCCCAACCCTCTCCAAGTTACAGTGTCTGCCTTCATGGCTTTCCTATATTTGGTCTCTTACAAAAGCACACAGCCACTTTCAAATCTTAGCTTTCTTCGCTGCTATAAATTTTTGTTACTTTTGTGATTTTTAAAAATCCAGGTTTGGTTGGGTGTGTTGGCTCACACCTGTAATCCCAGCACTGTGGGAGGCCAAGGTGACCAGATAGTTTGAGCTCAGGAATTCAAGACCAGCCTGGGCAATGTAGCAAGACCTTGTCTCTACAAAAAATAGAACAAAAACTAGCTGGGTGTGGTAGCACACCTGTAGTGCCAGCTCCTCGGGAGGCTAAGGTGGGAGGATTGCTTAAGCCCAGGAAGTCAAGGCTACAGTGAGACATGTTTGCACCACTGCACTCCAGCCTGGGCAACTGAGTAAGACCCTGTCTCAAAAAAAAAAAAAAGTCAGGTTAATATTTGTTCTTGGGTAAAAGTATTTTGAAATCCTTGGAATATATCATTAGAGATATTTATGGGGAACTTGTATTTTTCCTTTTCTTAAATATGTAGAACCAAGTTGAAGTATATTAGAAAAATGTTCAATCATTAGATCTGAATGTCATCTCAAGGCAATCTCTGTAAGAAATTGGTTTCAGAATAAAATAAATATCAAATTATCTTATCAAATATATATTAGACATTATTATATGCTAATTAAATATCAGCTAACAAATTATACTACCATAATAGCTAACTGCCTGCTTCCCCTTCCTGCCTCCCCCACTCCCTTCTTACATTCTTCTCTTGGAGTGACCTCACTGAGTTTTGTATTAACTTCACCATTTCTTGATTCTGTGCAGCATCAAAAAAACCACTTGCCACCCGACTATAACATACAGCCAATTCCACAATCTTGGAGCACATTTCCCATCCTTTTGCTTATTCATCATGGTTGGATTAATTGCAGCACTCTCTTTTTTGTGTTTTTTTGGTTGTTGTTTTGTTTTGTTTTGTTTTTTGTTTTTGGGGCAGGGTCTCACTCTGTTGAGTCTGTTGCCCAGGCTGGAGTGCAATGGCACAGTCACAGTTCACTGTAGCCTCAAACTCCTGGGTTCAAGTGATCCTCCTGCCTCAGCCTCCCGAGTAGGTGAGACTCCAGGTACACATCCCCACGCCCAGCTAATTCTTGTATTTTTTTTTGTAGAGATGGGGTTTTACCATGTTGCCCAGGCTGGTCTAGAACTCCTGGGCTCAAGCAATCTGCCCGCTTTGGCCTCCCAAAGTTCTAGGCTTACAGGCGTGAGTCATCACGCTCAGCCTTGTTCTTCTTAACTACATAAAGTTAACAAGTCTTAGTGCGCTGTCAGTGACAAAGATCCTGAAATTGGCATGCATGGAAATTAAACACATAAGCCTTATGTTTTCTCTACCACTTCCTATAGGTCCCTCTCCATAACTCATGTGCGAATGTCTTCAGGTTGAAGTGAGGGTTTCATTTGTGTGCATCCGCATAGTACGTGATTGGCTGCTTAGTTGGCTTATTCATTCAACAGTAATTCCTTGAGTTATTTCTACTAAGTAAATATTTGCTCTGAGTCCAAATCTTCATTAATCTTCATGGCCGTTCCTGCCATTCACTAGGTCACTGTGATGCGCGGATGCATCCAAGCTGTACAGCCAGCAGTGGTGGTCATTTAGGACCCAGAAACACTCCTCACATCTCCGTAATGTGTTCTGAGAAAGAGCTCCTTCAAGCACAAAATTATAATTCCTTTGTAAAATAAGGACTTATTGATCACCTTCTACGTGCCAGAGACTATTCTAGGTGTTGGAGATGTAACAGTAAACCAAATGCAAGAAATCTCTGTCCTTGATGGAGCTTTGATTTCATGGGGAGGCACTAAGAGCAAATACAGTCATGCATTGTGGATACATGCTGAAAAATGCATTGTTAGGTGATTAGTCATTGTGCAGATATCATAGGGTGCACTTACCCAAACCTAGATGGTACAGCCTTCTACACACCTAGGCTAGATGGGATAACCCAGTGGCCCCCAGATTCTTTGTCAGCAGGGTCCAGTTTCATGGAAGACAATTTTTTCATGGCCCAGATGGGTGCGTGGGGCAGTTTTGGGATGAAACTGTTCCACATCAGATCATCAGACATTAGTTGGATTATCATAAGGAGGGTACAGCCTAGAGCCTCACATGCACAGTTCACAACAGGGTTTGCGCTCCTATGAGAATCTAATGCTGCCACTGATCTGACAGGAGGCGGAGCTCAGGCAGTAATGCTTGCTCGCCTGCCACTCACCTCCTGCTGTTCAGCCCAGTTCCTGACAGGCCACAGATGGGTACAGGCGCATGGCCTGGGGGCTAGGGACCCCCGGTATATGGCCTATTGCTCCTAGGCTACAGCATGTTATTACACT